AATGGTGGGTCCCCGGTCTGGCCTTCAATTACTAAGTGTAAAATAGGGTGAAGATTTACAAAGTAGAACACAGTTAGCACGAACAAGCAATCAGCAGTTTCCTTAGCTCAGTGATGTGATTGCTGCGCCAATTGCGCCAAACTGCGCCAAGGGGCTAACCCTGCTACATCCTGCTACATTTCGCCGAAATATGGGTAATCTGCGCCCAGCCTGCGCCAAAGGAGCAATTTCGGTCGCCTTTCAAAACCGAAACTAAACTGAGTACGGGTCCATATCACATGAGCGAATGACATTTAAGCGAACAGCGACATTTGAGCGAATCGACGTTTTAGCGAATAACCGGGGCGCGCGTTAACCCATCCGCCGCGCTGCGCTTTACACCGCTTCGCGGCGACAGTCTGCGGCGGCTCATTACAAAAATGTGAACCCATTTGGCCCACCCGAAAACGCCGCTTCGCGGCGTCCGACTATTCGCTAAAGTGTCATTTGGTGAAACGTGGGCGTTCGCTAAAACGTCATTTATCAAGTGAGTGCCTCCCACTGAGTACCGTAATTGAGCATGCGTGAGCTAGGGGGCGCAAGCGACCGCCCGACAAAAAAGTATGCTGCATCAATCGTCCATCCGGTCTCGCATGGCTTTTCCCGCCGTTCCTCATTTCGCGCTCTCGTGGGTCTTGTCTCGCATCCTCTTGAAAATATTTTAACGATAGATGCAAGCGTATTTGGACGCCCCGATGCTAGCTTGCCGGGCACCAGCCATGCCGTCATGTTGAAAAACGAAACCACGTTTTTGCGCATTGGGAGTTACTTGTGATCTGAAGCACTCGCTTCTGAAAGGAAACGGCCGTGGCAAAACTATTTTTGGTCCCTGCCTACCAGTCACCGTGGTTATGACGTCGGGTGTTCCCGTCCACACATTGCTGCAGATATGGCGCTTTCTAAAATGAAACGTAAGGACCGCTGCAGGGTAATCAGCAATCCTGTCCTTGTTTAAATTAAACGTTACTACAAAAATCCCTCCAGCTCAAGGTCTCTTGTGTCGAAGTACTGTTTACCCAGGTTTCTCTAGGTGGGATTTCTTTTGAGAGGGACCCCGGTACGTGAAAAGTCTGTCGCAAAAGAAAGTTTGAGACAAGTTAGCTAAAGCAAAAAAAAAAAAAAAAATGGCAATGTCTGCACGCTGAACCCGCACAGCGCGCTTGTTTATCTTGGGTTCAGTTGTTGCACAAAGCGTTCCAAGAACTTTTTGACCCTGACTCGCGATGTCTTGCATTGATGCGCTCAGGTTTTTTTTTCTTTGATTAGCTTTATTGTCCTTGTTTTGCTTGCGCTTTTTAGCCTTTTAAATTAGCTTGTGCCTCTCATACTGGCCTGGCAAGCAGGCGCCGCTAAACTGTTTTCCTTTTTTTTTTTTTTGATGCTGGCTTGTTACATTTTGCATACAATTTTGGGGATGGCGACGGAGCGGAGTGGCAGAGTTTCGGTTTCGGTCGAACAGCCGTCTCCGCTCGCATAACGAAGCGTGTGCAACTGCAAGCTGCCGAAGTTGCCCTCACGTGCATGCGAACATGATTGCACGACAGAGGTACCAGCCGGGACGCTTGCAATCCATTGCTTTACATTTGCTCGCTTCTGACAAAAATCTGGCATGTCGGGAACCAGTAAAACGGTGGGAGACGTTTCGGAATTGCTCGGCAACGCCTACAGCACTGTGCACTTGTGGGATGTCTCAACGTCTCTTTGGAGACATTGAAAGTGGACATTCATTACTTGCCGAAAGCTAAGCGAGGCTTGCAGCAGCCTTGGAGAATGTTTCAACAAGCAAAAGAAAAAGTACCCACCAGTCGTACTGCACCTTTTTCATGTGTACAGTTTCCTATTGTATTGCAGTAGTTACGTGTTTCATCAGTTGGATACTGCTTCAATTTATTATAATATATAACTAATGAAGTTTATGCTTTCATATTTACTGCTAAGCTGGTCATTTTCAAATAAATTTAATATGTGCAATCTGGTTCTTATTTATCTATAGCGGGTACATATATATATGTCACTTAACTGAAGCATTGCAAAATATGTTGTGTCATTGGCATTTCAGTTAACAACTTGAAAGACTCCCAGGTCGTCTAACTTGACCATTATTTGGTTATTGTGTCGAGCAAAGTGCCCTTCCTTTGTCCAGCACTTAAAACAAATATTTTGTTTTTATAAAAAAATCTGCTCCAAAAACCACTTTTTGCTGCTCCGAAACACTATTTTGGCTGCTCCAAAAGCCACTTTTGCTGCTCCAAAAAACTGTTTTGGCTGCTCCAAAGGCCACTTTTGCTGCTCCAAAACACTGTTTTGGCTGCTCCAAAAGGTGCTCCAAAACGGCTTAGGCCAATCACATCACTGTTAGCTCTATCCATCAAACAGGTGGATGGCTGCCCTTGAATCCACTGGCGTAGTGGTGTAGGACCTACGTGTGAAACGATGCCGAAATTGTTGCAGTGTGTGCACAGTGTTCGCATGATTCTAACGCGCAGGCAGATTTAGCTCCCAGATAATGAAAAGTTGATTGCTGCCGATTCTACCGCGCAGGTAAAATAATGAAGATTGAACATATCCCTCATAGAACAGATTTTATGAAAGGCACGCCAACTCAAAAATAAATGCCGTGCACTAGTCATTGTTGTCAGGGAGCGACGATGGTTCTTCGCTGTCCACACAGGTAATCCCTGCTTTTGTAAGAAGCGTTTTAAGTGTCGCGCCTCTTGCGCATGTACGAACGCACGACGGTCGCCTTTGGGAGGGTCGTCTTCCAAACAACACTTTGCGAGTTCATCGGGTCGCTGGGATTATGAGGCCAGGCAGTGCTGCTCCGTTTCCCGCCAGCGTGACGGCCTTTCATTTAAATAAAGCCTTTGAATTAATTTTTTTTTCATTTTAAAACAGCAGACGCGAGAGAATATGCGTGATACGAATACAAAAATGGCAAATGTAAACAAACGGCCATGATGGCGATGGGGCTAGCCACCTTGCACCGTGCATTGCGTTTTTCTTTACTTTCGGTTTTTGGTTTTGATTGTATCGCGCATGTATTTTGGCACCGATTTCGGCGAAAAAAAGTTTGCGTTAGAATCGTACAAACACTGTATGCCTTTTACAACTTTCAGGAACCAAATGTGATCATTATTTCGACAGACGTGACAGTTCATTTCGAAAATTGTGTGGTGGCACTAGATGCAATTTCACAATGCAACCTCTGCAAGGGATATGCAATCACAAAAAAGATAAAACACAATTCGATCTAAAGGCTTATGACCTCAGGAGCTATTCAAGTCAAATTTTACAATGCTCTTTTTCTCAAACTTTTTGACATGAAGGAACACCTAACATTCTCAGTTGACATCCAAGGAACGCTACCCACTGAATGTCTGGCACATAATCAGGAAGGAGAGGATGGCTCAAGTCTACTAGAATTTCGTGGTGCTCAGGAAAAAGAAAGTCAGGGAATTTGAAAGAAGTAATTTGGTAGACACCCTCATTTCAGGGCAAATTTGCCATCTGGAGGCTGTGTGAGGTGCAATGTGTTCAAGAGCTACCTAATCGATTGGAGCCTTGTTTGCTGTCAACAGTTCTTCAGTCTTCTGGACAAGGGGCAAGCCAATCAGCTTGTTTATGTATTTCTTTGTAACTATAAAGTGCCTTTGGATATTACATATTGACTATTTTCATCACACGGTATGCTGTCACGTACTGAGAGCTTATGCTGCGAGCAATCATTTTTAACTTACAAAATAATGACAAGAAAATACAGAAAACCCTAAAGCCACACCTCAGTGGCTTCAAAGCAAAGTGCCTGCTTACAGGTGCCTAGTTAGCGGTTCGAAACTGTAGCCAAGGTTCCCAATATCTACTAATGGCTTACCATGAAGCAGGTGCTATGTAACTGAGGTTTTGGTTGCATGTTAAAACTACATACCTTAAAATACCGAGCATGAGCCCATATCACAGGGGCCTACCCCTACTTTTGCAATGCTCCCAAGATAAGCAAAGAACAGATGAAACGCTCATGCCCCATTTTGAAGGCAAGTTAAAAAAATTCAATGGACATATCAAGCGACCAGACGCTTTGTAATCCTTGATGCGGTAGAGCCAGTCGCGGATGTAACGGTTAGCGGACATTATTTTCTCGACCAGCACGAGCCACAGCCTGGGCTTTAGCAGGACCAAGGAATTGAACTGCAAGGGGTAGCAGAGATATAGGAGGCAAACAGCGAAAGTAATAAGGACCGCAAAAACTGCTGGACTCGCGCTTCCAGCCTTGGTTTTGCTCGTGCATAAGGTGATACAATGTTTGTACTAGTGAAGTGAGCTTGGTCGGCTGCATTACATAAACAGCAAATTTAGTGGTCGGAACAAGTGAGGGCCCACTTGCCAATGCGCTTCTGTATTTCCTCTTTCAGATCCAGCAGGCGCCCAGCCCCCAATTTCTTTGCTATTATCTCCAAATTTTTAGTTTGCGCTCTCGGTATCTTATAGTAGGTACTCTAAATAATCCTGTCCTTTGCCGAGGCATGCCAAATGTTTATCATTTGTTTGTCACATAAGCCCTTAAACTTTCATATTAACTTTATCAAACCTCCAACTATGATGCTGAAAGCCAATGAACGACAAGATTAAAATGTAAGTGCACTTGGCAGTGGAACCACGTATGTAGCATCTGCCAGGGACATACAAACTACTGGACTGACTATCTCTGACAGCTCTGCAAGTATGCAGTTTGGCTGTCGCCCATGAACCCTTAGCAGAGTTCCCCTTGACCTAGAACAATACGGCAAGCATTCCAAGAGTTTCAAAACAACAAAGCTGGACCTGCCATCAAAAACAATCTTCTGAATGATGCCAGTTAGACCATTACATAGCTTAACGACAGAGCTGTTGTTCCTCTTATTCCTAACGTAGGAGGCAGTGGTAAACACTGTTCCATGCTTCACCATACGTTGGTACTCAACAGCTTAAAACGACACTTCGGGAGGGTTCAGCAAAGCTCCACTAAACTCCTTATAGGGGCACCCCTTGCCCAACATGCGGACTCCTTCTGTCTGAGGGCTGACAGACTTAAGTGTGATGCGAGAATCGAGCGATGAACAAAATGTAGAAACTGCAGTGTCTGTCACCAGCTCTTCCAGCTCAGCCACGACATTCTCTAGCGATAACGTCCGACAAATCTGGTATGGAATCCCCTTTGCCGCCTTAATACAAGACTTCATTTTGCCATTGCCAGCCTCAAAGGGAAATGCAGAGTGAGCCCACAAAGGCCCCCAAAGACGGACACTCTTGACAATGTGTTCCATTTGATGTACATTGAAGGTCATGCTTTCTTCGCCATAAAGATGCTGTGTTTTTATGACGAACTCTACCATGAGAAGGTCGCAAAGGTCAACATCTCGAGAGGAAATTTTCTGCTGCAGCATCAGGTGTAAAGACTCCATTAGAAGGGCCCGGTGGGAGAGGAACCTGCTAGGCAAGAATCCACTAAGGACAGGAAGGCTGTAGTAGAGGGCCCAATTTTGTAGCTCTTTGGCCTTCCAAAATTTTCCCCCTTTTAGAGACCTTGGTGTTCTCCTCATATCCCGGGGTGGCGTGATACTTAAAATCCTGCTGTCAAGCACTGCAGTCTGCCGCCCAACATAGCACTCTTTGTCAGATGACGTAAGCCAATACTCTAAAAATTGTCTAACTACACCAAGTAAAACACAGTGCATATACTCTGGTACAAAACCCCAGACAATATTGAAGTGTTCGAGGTTAATAAGTGGAGAAACGCTTTTAACTCCCCTCACAACAGTCCCAGTCTCGAGTACAAACTCCATGTCGCTACACATCTGTGCGTCTGTGCGTTCCTCGGGATCAACTTCCTGCACAGGACATTTTACTGACCCTCCTATGTATATACCGGGGTGCAAACACCAATTGCATCCACAGTATCCATTAAATGGCACAATGCCTTGCATAGGTGCACGTGCAACTGAATCAACAGCCGAACAGATGCAAAATGCTTTAAAATTTTCAAGTTTACCTTTGAACATTAATGAAAACCCTGTGTCAGAGAGGTCCTGCATTACATCAACAAATGCCTTTTGAAAAATGTCCTTTCTTGGCTTGCTTTTTCCGAACCAAAGCGCTGCTAACACCAGTTTCTTCATGCGACCTTTGGCAGGAATTTCGTTCACTGAAAGTTGTATCGGTCAAATTGAAGTCGACGAGGACTTAAAGACAGGGGCACCATCTGTGTTCAGTGTGACGCTGACTCTATGCTGAGTATGTACAGTGTTCTTCACAAAAGCACGGTACATGCTTCCATCTGTTATGCCCCACATAGGGTCTCCATCTCCAAAAGGCTGTGTGATGTCCAAAAAGTCTGCATTTTTCAGAATCGTTTGCAACTCAGATCTAACATCAAATGTAATAAAAAAGGTGGGTCCGAGACGTTTGACACCCTGCACACTTCACTACAATGCGGGCACTGAAATGAATTACAGCTCGAAACTGGTTTACCAACGTAATAGAAACAACTGGAGCAGTAAAAATGAAAAGTGGCCCCATTAGCATCAAACATCTTCCCAAGGAAGTAACGGGACTCTGGAAGAATCGGTTCGGCGAAAAAGCTGTTCACCATCTTCACAAGATTAGTCAGACCGGTAAATGTAAGACCATTGCTTGCAGCATATTTCAATACCATGACCAAAATGTCACCTTTCGAAACTACAACCTGTTCTCCAATGATGTCCTGAAAGAGTGCAGTGAAGGAACTTGCGGCCTCCGCTGCTTGAAGGTCTATGCCTGATCCATCCCCATCTAAGGTGCCTTGCCCTGCAGGGGGCACCTGTGAAAGCAGGTGTTTGGAGAGTGGCGTCTCCACGGACCCCGAGCCCCGCAGGGGGCACCTGCACCTTATGTGCTAGGTGCTTGGTGAGTAGCGTCACCACGGACCCCAGCCACGTGGGCCACCATACCCGCACGCAGGGGGCACCTACTTTAGTAGGTGCTTGGTGAGTGGCGCCACCGCGAACCCCGAGCTATGTGGGTTTACCCGCCCACACCTGGCTGTGCGTTGCTTAACCCGTGTCCGGGGAAAAGGGGACCCTGGTGGTTGAGCTGAGCCTGGGGTTTGTTTGGACCCTTCGGGGCCCCCCGGGCGAGGCAATACACCGCTTCGGCCCCTGCTTCTCGTAGACGGGTGTCCTGGCTTGGCCCGACCAGGATGATTCAGCCAGTCGCCTCTTCTACCCTCTTCTTCCCTCTTTCACTTTTCCTCCCACCTCTTTCTCTTTTCTTCTACACTTTCTTCCTTCCTTTTTCACCTTCTTAGGCGGCAAGGGCCAACCTTGAGTGGAAACAGGACCTGTCCCTGCAACCACACTAGGGTATAGTGCCCGGGCAGCACTGGTAGAGTAATTGTGTCAGCCAAGCCCATCTTGCTATGGCACATTACCTACCCCCTTGTTGGGCTCCGTGGTGGGCGGTGCACCCGGGCACTGAATTTTCCTCCCATCTCTTATGGGTCTGCACAAAAAATATTTTCTTGATCGGCCCCCGAAAAGGGGTCGCACCGAAGTTTCTACCTCGCACGAGACACACACTACTCCACCTAGATTCCCAAAATGCTTGGTACTCCACTCTGAAAGCGACAAACAACTCTCGAAAATGTGACCATTTCTTGTTGCAAAGGTCCTAGAGGGTGTGATTGGAAAGAACTTTAAGGCTAAGAAGCTGGCATCTGGCGATTTGCTTGTAGAAATTGGGACCAGCCACCAGAGTTCTGCGCTCCTTGCACTCAACTGTGTGTCGGACTACAAAGTTACAGTGACACCCCACAAGACATTGAACACCATCCAAGGAGTCATCTCGGAGGACGACCTTCTGGACGCGTCTGAGAGCGAAGTAGTGGAGGGCCTTTCTGACCAGGGGGTTGTTGCTGCAAGGCGCATTTCCTTGCGTCGTGACGGCCAAGAGCTGAAGACTAGGCACATCGTGCTTACCTTTGAGTCCACCACACTTCCTGAGTCTGTGAAAGCGGGATACCTCTACTGCAGAGTTCGTCCTTACGTTCCGAACCCCAGAAGGTGCTTTAACTGCCAACGATTTGGACACGGTTCACAGAACTGCCGCGGCAAAGCGACCTGTGCTAAGTGTGGCAAAACCGACCATGCAGCAGACTCTTGTTCCAACGACATAGTCTTTGTAAACTGCAAAGAGCCCCACCCTGCTTACTCCAGATCGTGTAAGACATGAAAAGATGAAAAAGAAATTCTTCCACTTAAAGTGAAAGAAAACCTTTCATACCCAGAGGCGCGTCGCCGCTTCGCGTTTTTGCGCAAGGGCGGCTTTGCACAGGTGGTGCAGCGGGGACCTGCACCACTGAAGGTTGCGGTGGCAACCCAGACATCCTTCCCGGATGCTAGGAAGCCACTGCAGTCCCCAACACCCCAGCTGAAGCTTCAGCTTCCTGGGCGTTCACTCTCGTCTGGTAGGCCTACATCCCCCTCCAGCGAGAGTTGTACCACTTCCATGGGGCAGCAACCTGTCCCCTCTCATGTAGAGGGCTCACAGGCTGTTTCTCCTACCCAAGATGGGTCGGCTGTGTCCGCACCTATCAGTGCTTCGCGATCTCCTTCCAAGGAGAAGGGACCACGCTCCCGACCGAATTCTTCGGAGGGAGCGTCCTCATCCAAGGAGCGGCACGATTCTTGTGCCACTCCTCCAGCACCCAAGGGGCAGGAGCAGGTGGGCTTGGGCGACTGCCTGCCCAGTACCTCTGCTCCTCCGGCTGGTGGAAGTAGGGGCCGGGGTTTTCCTCCTCGTGCCCAGAACCTCTCTAAACCGGCTAGAACAGCCTCCGCCCAGGAGGCAGAACCAATGGAGGAGGGTGCCGAACCATCCACTCTTGCATCTGACCCAGACGACATGGAGTGGCAGGTCCCCAAGGGCAAGCACAAGAGCAAAAAACCAATTGTTCCACCAAAGTGACAATTATACTCTGCAAGGCTGGTATTCTCTTTCAACAGGAACATCATCCTACATCCTCACTCACTACACCAACCTCACGACACCAAGATATCTTGCTCATTTCCATTGCTCCACCTACTCCTAGGGTTCAGCCGAGACAGAGGAGTAACGGCGACTCCCTCGCCAGTGGCTTCGGCCCGAAGTCTCGACGCCCTTGGAGGTTGGAGAGGTCAGTTCCATATAGACCAACCAGAGGACTACTGGCGACTCCCTCGCCTGGGGCTTTATTTTTAATTGCTTTTCCCCAAAAGTTCGGTCGGACCTGCCTTCTTGCGGACTCATTAAATCATCCTTCATGTCCTTTTCACATTTTACTAAATTCACCTCCTATGACTGGCTTAGGTTTGCTCTAGCTACCATTACACGAAGCTTGTGACTTTCTGGTGAAAAGCTAACTGCCTAACATTAATCATGTCTGTTTTTTTACAATGGAACTGTCGTGGACTTTTTTCCAATTATGACGACATCACCTTTTTATTAAATGAACACCGCCCTGCTGCCTTTTGTTTGCAGGAGACGCACCTTAAAGAAAGTCACTCAAATGTTCTTAGACACTTCAAAGTGTTCAGAAAAGATAGGTTAAACGCATCTGTAGCTTCCGGTGGTGTTGCAGTGGTTGTCCAACGCATGGTCCCGTCCACTGAAGTGGCTTTGCAAACCTCTCTCGAGGCTGTGGCTGTCCGTTTGCTGCTTGACCGCGTGATTAGCGTCTGCTCAGTGTACATCTCCCCTGGATATCGGCTGCAGTACGAGGAGCTAGATAATCTAATTAGCCAGCTTCCGGTGCCTTACATCATTTTAGGTGATTTCAATGCACACAATCCCTTGTGGGGAAGCTCTAGAAGAGATTTTCGAGGGGCACTCGTTGAACGGATTCTTCTTTCGACAGGATTGTGTCTGCTCAACACAAAAGAAGCCACTTATTTTAGTTCAGCAACTTGTAGTTTTACTTCCATTGATCTTTCGTTTTGTCATCCTTCATTGTACTCCCTGCTTTTATGGAAGGTCATTCCAAATCCATATGGGAATGACCACTTTCCACTCATTATAGAGTTCAACCATCTTCCTGCTGGTCTTTTAACACGTACCCCTCGTTGGAAGCTTGAAAAGGCTGACTGGTCAATCTTTACAGAAGCCTCACTTATGGCATGTTCATCTCTTGATGATCTTTCCATCGACGATGTCACCGAGCTAATTACTCAGCATATCTTGCAGGCCGCTAAGCTTGCCATTCCCATGACATCCTCACATCTTCCAAAAAGGCCAAAGCCGTGGTGGAACGAAGACTGCCGCCAGGCGAAGAAAGAACAGAATCGTGCTTGGAGTATTCTCAGGCGTTATCCCACAGCAAATAACCTGATCGGTTTTAAGAAAAAAAAAAGAGCGCAAGCAAGGTATATCCGGCAGCGAGCCAAGCGGCAAAGCTTTAGAGGGTATGCTTCCTCAATTAATAGCAGTGCGTCCTCGAAGGAAGTTTGGGACCGTGTGCATAAAATTGAAGGCTCCTACCGGGTATTTTCTGCCCCACTCCTGAACCAAAATGGACAATGCCCTGCCAGCCTAAAAGAACAGGCGAATGTCCTTGGTGAGCATTTCGAATTTGTTTCAAGTTCTCAGCATTATACTCGGTCATTTCAGCGACACAAGCTACAGGCAGAGAAAAAGGCAGTTCCTTTGTCAGGTGGCTGGAAGGAGCCGTATAATTCACTATTTACACTTTTTGAACTACAGCTGGTACTTCGTTTGTCCAAACAGACGGCTCCTGGGCCAGACGGCATTTATTACAAAATGCTTCAGCACCTCCATCCATCAACTCTTGAGCTTGTTTTATATTTGTTCAACCGCATTTGGCTTGAAGGTTGCTTCCCCTCATCTTGGAGGGTGTCTATCATTATTCCCCTGCTGAAGCCAGGAAAGGATCCTACCTGTGCATCTAGCTTTAGGC